CTGAAACAAGGTAACCAAGCTCTGGCTTTTCAGCTGTAGCCACAGACCCGACTTGGCACGTTTGGGTTTTCTTGGGGAGTCTAATGCGCTCGCTCGGTCTCAGAACACTTGCAGAACAGCGGCCCGCTTATCAGGACCGAGATGCATAATACATTTAGCTGAAGGCGACTCCACTGAAGAATCATCTCTACAAAGATATAATGAGCCCCATTGGAGGCCCATGTGCATCTCAGAGCTGAGGAGGCGCAGCTGTCGCACAGGCCGCGCTGCCAGTGTCTTAAAGGGCCGGCAGATAAATAAACACTTTAAAGAGACCCTGTCACCGACTATAAACATTGCAGGGAAAAGCAAAGGAAACATGGAGTGTATGAAATCCTGACTTGCAGCGTTTTTCTTTTCATTCATTATTTTGTATTCACTTACAATGTGACTTTTTAGATTGAAAGCCCTCAGGGGCAGGGCCCTCCTTACCATCTTGTCTTGTATTGTGATTGTATTGTCTTCCTTATATTGTAAAGCGCTGCACAAACTGTTGGCGCTCTATAAATCCTGTATAATAATAGTCAATTCCCTCGCACAGCCCCTCCCCCCTCATGGTATGTCAACACCCTCTCTTCTAATGGGGACACCTGTTGAATAGAACTTTGTATAGATTTCCACTCACTTCCTGTTACATCTGTAGCACAGGAAGTGAAGGAAAATCTCCCCAAAGGGACATAGATGGCAAATACTGGAAATAAAGAGTACATATACATACACTTTAATTCCATGTACAGTATACAAGATGGTGGGATTTGTGGCTGCTCTGCTGACTTTATTCTTCTTTCTTTAGGCGAGACGCTGAGAGGGGGATGGGACCGCGCTGATCCCGGAACATCGACATCCATTGGCCTGGTTCACTGATACAAGGTGATCAGTAAGGATTGTAGATCTTCTATCCCTAGCTCCTTCTCTTTATTGGGGGGAATGTCGCCCACATTGTGGATGGACCAGCTCACATGATTGGTTTGCTTCTTGAAGACTAAAGCTGGACACACCCCAGTACAATATTTTTTTTGGAACGTTTGTTTAACGTCCTCATGGTTAATGGGGGAGATCCACGATGGTTTTGGGCTGGGGATGACCAATGGCTGGGGATGACCAATGGCTGGGGATGTCCAATGGCTGGGGATGTCCAATGGCTGGGGATGTCCAATGGCTGGGGATGTCCAATGGCTGGGGATGACCAATGGCTGGGGATGAATGTCTGTTCATTGCTGAGACGTTACATTGTTGATGAAAGTTCATTGGATAAAATGTAACCTGCTGATTTCTTCACTTCCGCAAATCATCCGCATAGGGAAAGAATGGAGCAGATCATGTGACCAGCCGTATACTGATAGCGGACACTGAGCAGGA